TGCTCCTGTCTGTGCTCCTGCACTCTGAAGATGCCGGTCACAGATGCTGGCGAAATGTTAGGAAACAAAACTTCCAGAACACGGCCACACAGCCCGGAAGACCCACACTAGCCATCGTATTCCAGCTGTGACAGCCTTCGACAATACATTAGATCATTCACTTTGTCCAACAGTACGTGTTCAGACCAAAGACCAAATCAAAGCTAGTTAGGTGTTGGCACAGGGGCCTCTGGTAATGAAAACTTCCAGAGATTCCTTTAGGTTATGCTGACCTGCAGATCTTCTACCTCTAGTAAGAATGCCTACGGTTAACCCCCTGAGCCAGAACAACTCATCTCCCTTTGAAATTAAACAGCAAGGAAGGAGTTTGCTAGAGGCTCTTGGTTTTTTTAATTTTCCCTGAGAACAGCAGCTGGCTGAAAAAAAGGAAAGTAAGGAATCTGAGCCTCTCTCTCCCTAAATTGTGAGGGGAAATCTGGAGTTAAGTGCAGTGAATAACTAGACAGAGTGGCATCAGGGATTGGATTTATTTTGTATGAATGCAAATCAAGCCTGATTCAAAGCTATTTTTTCTCTGACACCTTCCTGCTACTTTAGCCTTACCTGTCACACTTCCTCTTCTGAACCTGCATTCCTTTCCCTAAGCCTAGCACACATCTGTGCTTTTCTTTGCTGTTGTATATTCTTCATAAACCCCCAAATACTATTTAAACAGACTTTTTGGTGCCAATTTGTGTCTTGTGCTTTTGTTATCTGGTAAGATGCCTCAGAAGGCCAGGGCTCTCTGGACTGACCACCAGAAACTGATCTTAAGCTGCCCCAAGTTCCTCCATTAGAAAGGAGAAGGGGTTTTCCGTCTTTTGCTCTTGATCCCACAACCTGGGTACAAAAAGAAAGTGTGGCCGCAAATACGTTCAGCAAAATGCAACTACAACCTGTTCTTCAAATTTCACCACTGCACGATGGGGAGAGAACAACTCCATATCCTTCATACATCTTTAAGCATTCTATTCAATTTTCATCACAACAGAAAGATGATAGATTAGCAATTTGATGGCAACTGCTAATTGGTGGGGGAGCGAATTTACAAGGATGATTTGGTTTGCTCTGTTTCTGAGTCACAATAGAAGATAGCGTGGCAGTGTGTCATTAAAGTTGCAATTCTGTGCATAATGTGGAGCACACATGCACAGCCCTACACTGTAAGAGCATGAGAAAAGCATCATTTACTACTACAAGTCACTATACCTTGAATGTCTCTTGACAATTTCTCTCCACAGCTGTAGTGAGGTTATCTGTTGGGGCACGGAGATGGTCTCTGTGCGCAGCCCTGCTAATTCAGCACTTCTGGCAAAATACAGCACTGTGACCTATTTTCAAATAGCAGGTATTAACATTTAACATTTGCATAGCATATCCATCCATCCATCCATCCATCAAATTTATAGGCCACCCAGCTTCACAATTAAAAACTGATAAAGAACAGCAGCGGTCCAGGGGGAGCAAATCAACATGAATACTCATGACATTTTCCAGCTGAAAGGGCCTCAACCACACAATGACTCAAGACCTGAGGGAAAAACTCAAGTTTTTAAGGCACATTTAAAGGCAGGAAGGTTGGAGGCTATATGAATCTCAGTGGGGCAGGTACAGCAACAGGAAAAGCTCAGTTCCTGGGTCCTCCTAGATGATAATGTTTAATCAATGGGGCCCAGACTAGACCCACAGCTTAAACAACAGTCAGACAAGAATGGGAATGGAGAAAGCATCTCAGAAGGGATCCTCTCTAGTTCTCTGGAAAGTAAAGGCAAGGCAGGGGAGAAGTGCTTTCAGACTTGCAAGGTTCTGTTACTGTAACCTTACAACAAAGGTAGTGTTAGTACTCCTGGTTTTGGACTATCTCAGAGCACTGACAGTGACTGGAAGGAAGTGTTCAGCCTTAAAGCTTTGTTCTATATGTTGCCCTTTTCTCAGCCCCATAGAAGCTGAAGCATTCCAAAATTCAGTTTCCAACTGTCCTGTTTCCATACAACTTAAGACAGGAAGGTTAAAAAAGGCAAGGTGGAAACCATAATCATTCATCCTCTCCTGGTGGATACCTCTGATTTAAGGTATCATTGATGTCATACAGCAGAAATAGGGAACCTTCCAATTACTGCAACTCCAGCTCCCATGAGCCCCAGCTAATCTAAGGATAAAAGAAGTTGATATTCAACTACATCTGAAGTTTCCATCTTTGCTACAGAGGAAGTATTTCAGTCCCAGCAAGTACTAAAATTACTCCAGAAAAATGCAGTTCATCCTGGATAGATGAAAAGAGGGTTGTCAAACAAGTTTTAAAGGCTCTCTAAACATTAGACAGTTTAAATATTCAAGCTACTTTATTCATCTAAGCCTCCAAGTTCAATCTAACAGAAATATCAAATGACAGGTAACTTCTGAAAATGTATAACCTGAAAAACAAATCCAACTAAAATCTATTTGACTTCTAGCACCACCAAATTCATTGAACCGCAGTGGAGATAAAATTCTTTTAAAAACTCCAGGCAGTTCTGTCAGAATCAGAGACACCAAGGAGTATAACTAGCTGCATTAAAAGCTAGAATAAGGAGGCAAAAAAACCCAAAACTGCTCCAAATTATAAGCTCTTACAAAATAAACCCCCTGGTAGGTCAACACCCCAGTGCGTAGTCTTCTAGGTCAGTGATCTCCAAAGTGGGTCATACGAGAAAATATTAGAATGCCTGTTATTTATCTAAAAAAAGCAAGAAATGAAGCTGGACTAATGCTTAATTCACAGAATATTCTCTTTATACGAGTATGTGCTAAAATGTACACATTAGTATAGTGATACAGGCATATAATTTACAAGCAGAGATACCTAAAGGTGCACGCTCAGCCTTTTTTACTAATGAAGTGCATGGCCAATAGCGTTTGGACTGCAACGCCCATCATCCTTAAGTGGCCAGAGCTAATGGGAGTTGGAGTAGCTGCGAGATGGAGGTTGCTCAACTTCGCAGGGTCGACCCAGAAGTCCTTTCAGGCAGGAGCGGGGGCAGAGAGCGGCTCACGCTGCGTACCTTGACCGTGTCTGAGCAAGGGATCGCGCGCAGGGGTCCCGCCCCCCCCATGGGGACCCATGTTCCGTCTCTCTCTCTGTCCAAAGCCACGTCCAGAGGGGGCGTGGCTTTGGGACAGACGGGGGCTCCGGGGCTTCTGCGAGACCGCGCCTTTCGGGGTGTTTGGTCAGCGCTGCGGGGCGCCTCAGCGGAGAAAGGGTCG